TGTATTGCTTATTTCTATCTGGAGACTTCAAATTTCAAGTTAGCTCAAAAGAGTTCATTTCATGCCCTCGAAGTACTCCCCGTGGCTAGAAATGCAAAGTTTCAGCCGATGTATCCACTTCTTGAAGGCGTCACGGTACACTGATTTGGGCACAATAATACGGTACTGATGAATGGCAGATCCAAGTGCCAGTCGGGACTTGTATTTCCGCCCAGCAAGGAAGGATTTCAATTTCAGAAACAAAAAGAAATCACATGGGGCAAGGTCTGGAGAATACGGGGGGTGAGGCAAAACAGTTACTTTTCCTTTTTTCAAAAACGCCGAAACTATTGCGGAGGTATGAGAGGGTGGGCATTGTCATGCAGACCTGGGGATGATTACATTGATCAGTAATTGATTTAATTACAATTACTTTCAGATTTTATTGTAATTGATTATGATTGATTACTCGTACTTGCCTCTGTAATCAATTAAATTACAATTATTTTAAGAGAGTAATTGATTGATAATTGATTACATTCAATGTAAAGTAAAATCCCTATTTAAGACCACCCCTGAATTAAGACCACTCCCATAATAAGACAGAGGTTCTTCAAGTCAATGGTTACATGATCCAGAATTAAAAACAACCGCTTATCCACTTTTAAGACCACATGATTCAGTCCAAATTCTTTGCTTTATTCTTAATTTGACCCAACTATTGAGACCACTGATATTACAGTCAACACCTATCTAGATCTTAAATTTGTTGATCTGCTTGAATGCTTTGCATGACACTTAATTTCACAAGGTGTGATTTATTATTGGGTCATTGTATGAAATAAGGTGAGAAGCTAAATTTTATAGTGGTTTAATGTTGCTTCCAGCAAATTTATTTTGTGAAGAATTAATTTTTTTGACAGGTGATTTATGTATATCATATAATAATTGATATTGAAATCTGACCAAAGAGAATTTTATGTCAAATTTCTTCAGAAATATGTTTCCTCTCATCTGATATCAAAGCATGCTTTTATAGTGTCTTTTATATTGTATTTGTAGCTTAAGATAAGCAATGTTTTTTTGTTTTTTTCCCATACAAAATGATTTAAACAGACCATGGTCATAAAGTATGTAAGCAATGTTAAGAATATTCACAATTAAAACCACTTTGGTCCAGCCAAGATGATGGTCTTAATTAAGGGCTTTTACTATATAAATGTAAAACAAAAGTTAAACTGTATCATGTAAAATAAAGGCATCCTTTGACTTAAAATAGTTTCCTGTTAAATCTTAAAGTAATCAATGTCAATCAAATTGTAATCATAATTACTGACTGAATTTTAGCTGTAATTGATTAATTACAATTAAATTAATCAAATTTTGGCAAGGTAATCAATTACATGATGATTACAGTGTAATCATGTAATCAATTAAAAAATCAATGATTACAATTAATTATTACCCCAGGTCTGTTGTCATGTAGAAGATTGGGTATCCGGACAATTCCCCTCCCGGACGATTCCCCTCCCAGTAAATTTGAATGTTTTTTCACAACCCGGACATTTCCCCTCCCGTTATTTTTTTACGGCGGACAATTCCCCTCCCGTTCTTTTATCAACCCGGACAATTCCCCTCCCGTTCTTTTAACAACCCGGACAATTCCCCTCCCGCTGTTGTCAGAGCGGACAATTTCCCTCCCGTGGCTGTTGAATATATATATTAGGGATGTCATCTGGAGCCGAAACGGCCATCCGGATATCCGAATCAAACATCCGGATGTTCGGATCGTTGTCATATTCTTAGATGTCTGATATGACGAAACCATTTCTTCACGACCTTTTTCAAATTGTAGTATTTCGTTTTTCTTCCTTTTTAATTGAATGATACATATCAAAAATCTTCCGTTATTGATTTTTATTTCTTCTATATAGAATACGACTAGCTTTTATTAATAAATTTAGTGCGTGTGGTACTTACGATTTCAAATGAAATGGAAACGAAAATCGCCGCCGATTGTCTGAATTCCTCAATTAGCGCTATAGTACGCAATAAAATTCGCTCACATTTGTGAAAACAAAATAATACCCGTAAAAATTAAATATAATGTTTCCATTGTTCAATAACACGCATACAATTTACACACGATGACCTTTGACACGCGTGTAGCCGACTTTTCCAAAGAATCTGCCAATCTTTGATGTTTACCATCATGTAGCACTGGCTGTTTGATTCGAATCATCAAAGAAAGTGCCGAAACTTACATGAATTACACACATTTTAAGTGTTCATAAGTGAAAAAAGAAATGTGAAAAAAAAATGTTTTTAAAAAAATGCACATGTTTGATTAATACTAAAGGAGAAAGTTATTTTGTCGGATAATTTTCGTATCAATTTCAATAAAAGCTTTGATAATTAACATATAATGCGTAAGTGAATTTCTTTATTTGCTAATTTTTTTTCTGCAGATTTTTCAATGTCTAAAAATAAGGAGTCGACGGGTCGGTAAGCCGAAATATATATAAATATAATAACCTAATTAAATATTTAAATTTGGACATAAAAAAATGTAACATCGTTGCCGATGACAGTCGCACGGGACTTAGAATCTTACAAAACTTAAATTTGATTAACAACATGTTTCATAATTGACTCGTAATTATTATAGTAATTATTGAATTTTTTGTGGACTGCAGAGGTTATGATGTGTATTGTCAAACTAATCGTTATCCGAACGTTCGGATATCCGGACTCCGAATGACATCCCTAATATATATTATATAATATTGTTTATTTGAAAGGTATATACATTTTTGCAATCAAGGACACATTTAATTAAGGGCGGCAATGATTAAAGATTTTTTATTGACAGTTTGTTTATCTTAAGCAGCGGCGGCAATGATTAAAGGCGGTATAATGTCACTTTTGTGAAATAATGATTGTTAAAAGTTCCGATCTTTAACAGTTTATTGTTAAGAGTAAAAACTGTCATCTTTGATAAGAATGGTTATAGATTTTTTTATACGCAATGTATAAAAAAACGGGAGGGGAATTGTCCGCTCTGCTAAAAAAATGGGAGGGGAATTGTCCGCTCTGCTAAATTAACGGGAGGGGAAAAGTCCGCCCTATTAAAATAACGGGAGGGGAAATGTCCGGGTTGTGAAAATAATATGGAAGGGGAATCGTCCGGGAGGGGGATTGTCCGGGATTCAGAAGATTGATATGCTTAAAACCAGTGACAGGGCGTCGTTTCTTATAATACTTTTTCAGTTTCTTAAGTACTACGTCTTTGTAGTACTTACCAGTGATACTTTTGCCCTTTTTCACTGCGACTCCTTCACCAGAGAAGAAAATTGCATACAAAACCTTCTTTGCACTCAAAGACCGTTTGGCAATTATTGGGCGTTTGTTGTGTTTAGTGGCCCAGATTTTGTTGCTTACTTTTCTGACGGGCTCAAAATAATGGACCCAAGTTTCATCACCTGTGACGACATTGGCAAACTGTTTTTTGTCATATTTTGGAAACATTTGAAGCAGCTTTTTGGCCACCTTAACCCGTTGCCTCTTTTGCTCATCGGTCAACAGATGTGGCACCCATTTGGCAGAAATCTTTCTGACTTTCAAATGCTTTAAATAAAGTGAACCGTTGATAGTGATGTGCCTACCTTTTGTGCAATATCACAAACTGTTAATCTGGCATCTCTTTCAATGATATCCTTTATTTTGGAAACAATTTCGTTACGAGATGCAGATTTTGGCCTACCTGATTTTGGTACATTTTTGATGCACTCTACACCAGACTCAAATTTCTTTTTCCATCGCCTAACTGTGTCATAAGACACACAAGAAGGCCCATAAGCAGTAGAGAGTTCAGTCATCAACTGCTTCAAAGAGCAACCCAGTTTTGAGCGAGCTTTGATGTAAGCCTGTATTTCATCTTTTTTGTTGACGCTTCTTCCAACCATTTTTACTACAGGGGTCAAAGACTGTGTGTATTTAAATGGCAAATTGTATGTCTTCCACTTAGTCTAACATGTACATTTATACACCGTTGTGTAGGTATTAAATTACCCTATACAGGTATGTATTGGTTTTTATGACATGGGTCATTTAAAAGGACTGAAAGAGCAAAAGTGTGAACGATATATTTTTAGTACTGGTATCTTGCGCTGTGACCCCAAACCTGAAAGACACAGATCAATATAATAAGCAAGAGTAATAAAATCTATTTTTTATTTGTGACATTGACCTTAAACTCAGTGACCTCAGACTCCTCTCAAGTTAAGATATAACATGTAATATGAGTATTTCAGTCAATCAGCCACACAGTGGAAAAAGTGTGAAAAACTAACTTTTTCTACCTCTTTTTAACATTGGTCCAATTGACTGTGTACACCACCCAAAGATATAGAGCCGCTCTAGTTATATTCCTTTAGATAGACATTTATCTATGAATAAAAGGTGCATGAGCAAAGGGTTTATTAAACTATTTTTAAACCCAGTCCTTCATTACATGACTATGGAAGGAAAATTTCTTCCGAGGTTACAAGTCAATAAATTTAGGCTGTTTAAGCAAAAGTGTAAAAAATGTTTTGGTACCAGTGACCTTGACCTTGAATCCAGAACAGCAAACTACAATTTTTTTAACACATGGTATCTAAACATTAAATATGAAAGACAACAATTAATTGTCCCTTTATATGTATAGTAAACAATTAAAAATATTGTATTAAAAATTATGGGTTGAAGTCAGCCCTAATATTTTATGCGAGTTTAATCATGACTTAAAGATGACCCATACTTATTTTGCAGTCTGTCAGTCAAAGGTGGAGATCACATTGGTCGTGATCACTGAAAACTTGTCCAACAGGAACTTATAACTATAGATACTGTTATACAATATTTTCCCTCACATTAGCGCTTGGCGGCCAGTGTCCCCTTGTTATTCGTTGAAGCTGTAAAAATTTGAGAAAGATTTAAATCATGTTAGACTTTTTATGTTTATGAACTATTTAATACAGGTGTTTGAAGTAGAGCAGGAAGATCATGAGCTTTATATAATGGAAGAATCTCCTAATAGGGTAAGTATATACCATTATTAGCTCATTTGAGCACATGTTCAAGTTGAGCTATTTTGAGCTGTATCTGTTGTCAACTTTTGTTTTAAACAACAACACCTAAACTGCTGGACCAATGTTGTTATTCGCTGTGTATATTGTTATGCACATGATTGTCCGTCCGTCCGTCTGTTGGCAATTCCATTCATCTGTTAGCAGATTTTCGTGTCCGGTCTGTATCTTTTGAACTGGTGGGGCACTAATGTTAACCATAATGAGAGGATATGCAGAGCGCAGGTTTGACCTTTCTCGGGTCAAGGTAGCACTTAGTCATTTTGTATCAATATCAACATTTTGTGTCTGCTCTGTACCTTTTGAACCAATAGAAAGTGATAAAAAATTTATTGCAGAAATATTTCTTATATTGAGACGGTGTGCAGAACATATGTTCAGACTTCCTAAGATCAAAATTGGCCCTGCCCTGGGGATTGATTTATATAGACTTATATAGGAGTTTTCGTTAGAACCGGTGGAGGGAAATTCAAACTTCTTGGCAGAAATGTTATCCATAATGAGATGATGTGCAGAGCGCAGGTTTGACCTTCCTCAGGTCAAGGTTACACTTAGTAATTTTGTATCAATGTCAAAATGTCATGTCCGCTCTGTTCCTTTTAAACTGATAGTAGAAATTAAATCTATTTGGCAGAAATATTATATTACTGAGATGATTTGCAGAGCACAGTTTCTAACTACCTAGGCTCGAGGTCAAGGTCACACTTACTGATTTAAAATCCTTATGTAAGACTTTAGTGTATATTTTACAAAGGCAGGTAAGAATGTATGAATTTATTAATATGCTTCCTCCCAATATATAATATTATGTTTGTTAACTCCCTTTATTTCGTATAGTCTATGTTTTTATTATATCCCCACAAACAAAGTTTAGGGGGGGGGGGGTATTAGGAGTCAGCTTGTCAGTTGGTCTGTCAGTCCTTTTGTTTGTCCACATCATGGTTCACATCTTGGTTTCCGGATGATAACTAGAGTTTGGAATCAAACTTGGTATATAGCAACCTTATGTGCAGACCCCGGTTGGTATTATATTTGGACCCCCTGGGGTCAAGGTCACTGTTACTAAAAATTAAAAAATGATTTCCGGACAATAACTAGAGTTAGGAATGAGATATTGTTATCAAACTTCAAGTGTAAAGCAAGCTTATATGAAAACTCTGGATGCTGTTGCATTTGGACCCCCTAGAGTCAAGGTCACCATTACTAAAAAATAGAAAAATGGTTTCTGGACAATAATTAGAGTTGGGAATGAGGTTTTGTAATCAAACTTGGTGTATAGCAAGCTTATAATTATGAAGACCACGGTTGGTATTGCATTTGGACCCCCTGGGGTCAAGGTCACCATTACTAAAAATAGCATGTCAAATACTTTTTGAGCTTCATACGACCCAAGTGAAAAATTTCAAATTTTTACTAAGTCAAGGGTAATAACTCTACAAATACTGAATAAATCCACAAGGGAAACCCTCTGTGCATAACTTCACATGCTGATAATCATTTCTGTAAAGTTCCTTGACCCTAGGTCAGATATTTTTTGAGCTATGTGCAACACAAGTTGAAAATTGCAAATCTTTACTAAGTCAAGGGCAAAAACTTTTAACAAATACTGAATTAATTCCACATGCAAAAACCCAGGTGCTCAACTACACTTGCTGACTAACATTCCTGTGAAGTTTCATGACCCTAGGTAAAATAATCTTTTTGAGCTGCATGCAACACAACATGAGAACGGAAGTATGGCCGGACAAGGGTAAATCCAAATGTCTGCCCCCCCCCATAGTAGGGGCACAATTAAACAATGGGGGTGCAGGGCGAAATTTAAGAAATAAAATGGTAGGGAGGCAGAGTGAAAACACGCTAATTAGCAAAACAAGGTTTAATAAATGTATAAAATGGTGGGGTGCAGATCGAAAACCTGCTTATTAACAGCGCATGGAGCGAAAAGTAATGCTTTTTAAAAATAATTTGCAAGGGCCGTTAACAACAGGACGTTAATAAGTGTCCTATAACAATAAATATTTCGCTTTGCAACCCGTAGTATTACAATTCAATCTCATCTTTTCGCCCCGCGCCCCCACTTATATGTGTGATGACAATTACCTCCCCCGTCATTGTAACTTGTTATTTCTCGAATTTTCACTAAGCAGGGTTGCGAGGCAAAAACTCAAATGGCATAAATCAGCCACCATACGGTTGTCTTAATATCAAGTCTAATTTACAAGTTATCATTTTTCTTTAGTATTTAATTTTCATGGTCAAATGACTGACTTATTTACTTAATGTTTTAAGTTATAATTTAACAATACTCATATACACTAAATACTCTTATTTGCAGCCCTATAACATGCAAGTAAACATTGTTGTACTGGAGGCAAATGGTCTACGTAGAACAGATTTTTCTGAAGGTATGTATGCATTATACACATAACCGAGCAACAAATTGTCATATTGGGTATTTTTGATACCATAACATCGTATAAACATATCTTTTTTGAAATTATCTTTTAAGATTTTGTTTTAACACTTAAGATATTTCTCGTGTAAAAACAAGGGAAATGTATTGCTTTCCCCTGCAAGTGACATATTTCTCATGTAAAAACAAGGGAAATATATTGCTTTCCCCTGCAAGTGACATAATAAGGAAATATTTGTCTAGTACCATAACTAATAACAGATTCAACAAAGTATATTTCAAGAAATAAAACATTGCAACTTATGTCAAACATGGATTAAATTTGAAAGGGAATTAAAGAAAATAATCATAACTTTGGTTGTTAAAAGCTATTGGATTTACTTCAAACCAATATTTTATGGATTTACGGAATATTTATGAATTATTTCGGCTTGACTCCACCAAATATGAATTGAGACAATAATGATCTCCCAACAACATGGGAAAAATCAAAAGAAAGTAAAAGTTATTTTCTCCGGACTAGTATGTTCAACTATGAATGCATCTAGAACGTTATATTGTTCATTGCAAGAAACAGGGGGAAATGAAGGTAATTAGGTAGAGATAAACATGTAAGCCTTACATTGATTACATAGACATAAACATCCGTTTATTTTAGCAGTGTTTATTATTTAAGCTTATTATTATACTGTAATACAAAGATGGTTGGTAGAACTTTAAGAGTATGTTATTTGAATAAGGTCTAATAAAAATATTAGCTTTTTAACTTGTCGTATTATAGTTTCCCCCCTGGCGGACTTTTGTCCAGAGCATATCTCCTAAACACATGGAGGAATTTAAATGAAACTTATATGAAATAGTTCTCTAGGTCAAAGGTCAAGGTCACACTAAGAGGTCATTGAAAAACTTTGTCCGGAAAAAAACATATACATGCATTGAGGTATTTCAATATAGCTTGGCACAAATGCCCACCATTGTGATCTACTGGGATATACAATAAATTCCATACTTTGTCCCAAGTTTATTAGTACTGTGTTCGATTTACTGGCGAACAATTTATTCAAAGCATTCACTGATAATATATTTTATTATCTTTTTTTATTGATTCATAGAAACAACCTAAAATGGTTTAAAAATTTGTCAGGGACACCTTACCACAAGTCATATAGGCGTTCACATAAAAAATGTTGTCTGTTTTTGTTGTTGTTTTACTTGACATTATTAAAAAACGAGGTTGAATGTAAAGCAAGCCCTTGAATCCGTACAAAAGTCCATAAACGCAATGTAATATCTATCAGATTAACGGGACAGACAAATTATTTTCACACATTATGGATATTTTAGCAACTATATCTTTAATCAACCCCGTGGTCGTGCGATTTGCCGCTATATTATTTATGTTTCATACATTATATTACGTGCATTGGCCGACAATTTCTTATTTTATAAAAAAAGGCTAAATAAAAGGTAGATGATATTCATAAAAGATGTACGGTATTTGTACGATACATGAATTACGAGTAGTAAGGACCAGTATGTACCGGTAATTCACGCATATATGGAACTACCGATTTCCCTCATTGATGCCTCAATAGGGGGCGGAGCGTTATCGATAATAGACAGGTTACGCGAATAGCAGATAAAAATGGTACAGGTACCGTTTTAAAACGTTTAAAAACACATTTTTTGGACTAACTGCTTCCAAAATTAAATCACGAATGTGTTCAGAAAAGGTTGATAAATCTACTAAGCAAAAAAACTCATTTTAGGTATTTTCAGTGATAATTGACTCCGTTGTCACCTTAAGAATGATAACTCTACCCTGCATTATTTTTGAGTTATTGCCCTTAGTTATTTTTCAAAATTAATTTTTGTCCAGAGCATAACTCAAAAAGCCTTTGAGATATCAAAATGAAACTTCATAGGTGCATAGATCTCACTTAGGAGGTGTGCACTGCACAAGAATGATAACTCTACCTTTTATAATTTTTGAGTTATCGCCCTTTCTTATTTTTCATACATAATTTTTCACCCGAGTGGAGCATAACTCAAAAGTGTTTGAGATGTCAACATGAAATGTCATAGGTGGATAGATTTTATTGAGGAGGAATGCTGTGCAAAAGAATGATAACTCTTCCCTGTACAATTTTTTAGTTATTGCCCTTTGTTCTTTTTCATACTATTTTGTCCGAAGCTTATCTCAAAACGTATTTGAGGTATCAACTTGAAACTTCATAGGTGGATGGATCTCATTGAGGAAGAGTGCAGTGCACAAGAACAATAACTCTACCTTGCATAATTGTTTAGTTATTGCCCTTTTTTAGCTCACCTGTCACAAAGTGACAGGGTGAGCTTTTGTGATCGCTTTTTGTCCGGCGTCCGTCCGGCCGGCCGTCCGTCGGTCGTCCGTCGTCCGTCTGTCCGTAAACTTTTACTTTAAATGACATCTCCTCATAAACCACTAAGCCAATTTCATCCAAACTTCACAGGAATGTTCCTTTGGTGGTCACCTTTAAAAACTGTTCAAAGAATTTAATTCCATGCTGAACTCTGGTTGCCATGGCAACCGAAAGAAAAAACTTTAAATATCTTCTTTTAAAAAGCATAAGAGCTAGAGCTAAGATATTTGGCATGAAACATGTTCTAGTGAGTGTCTTCCAAGTTTGTTCAAATAAAAGCCCTGGGGTCAAAATTGGCCACGCCCCAGGAGGTCATTGATTTTCCCTATATGCATATAGTAAAAACTTTAAAAATCCTCTTTTAAAGAACCCAAAGAGCTAGAGCTAAGATATTTAGCATGAAACATGTTCTAATGAGTGTCTACCAAGTTTGTTCAAATAAAAGCCCCTGGGTCAAAATTGGCCCCGCCCCAGGGGGTCATTGATTTTCCCTACATGCATATAGTAAAAACTTAAAAAATCTTCTTTTAAAGAACTTAAAGAGCTAGAGCTAAGATATTTAGCATGAAACATGTTCTAATGGGTGTCTACCAAGTATGTTCAAATAAAAGCCCTGGGGTCAAAATTGGCCCCGCCCGGGGGTCATTGATTTTCCTTATACATGTATGTGTATAGCAAAAAACTTAAAAATCTTCTTTGAAAAAACCCAAATAGCTAGAGTTTAGATATTAAGCATGAAACATCTTCTAGCAAGTGTCTACAAAGTTTGTTCAAATAAAAGCCCTGGGGTCAAAACTGGTCCCGCCCCAGGGGTGTCATTTATTAACTATATGTGTATAGTAAAAACTTAAAAAATCTTCTTTTAAGAAACCCAATGAGCTAGAGCTTGGATATTTGGCATGAAACATCTTCTAGTGAGTGTCTACCAAGTTTGTACAAATAAAAGCCCCGGGGTCAAAATTGGCCCCGCCCCAGGGTGTCATTGATTTTCCCTATATGCATATAGTAAAAACTAGGGATGTCATCTGGAGCCGAAACGGCCATCCGGATATCCGAATCAAACATCCGGATACATCCGGATGTTCGGATTGTTGTTATATTCTTAGTTGGCTGATATGACGTAATAATTTTTTCGCGACCCTTTTCAAAGTGTAGTATTTCGTTTTACTTCCCTTTTTAGCTCACCTTGCACAAAGTGCAGGTGAGCTTTTAGGATGGCCAACCAAATGGCGTCCGTCGTCAGTCGTCCGTCCACATTTTAAATATTCTAAGGACATCTTCTATGATACCGCAAGGCCAATGTTAATGAAACTTGGCAGGAATACTCTTTGTATGAAGCTCTATCAAGATTGTTCAAAGAATTCCATTTCATGCAGAACTCTGGTTGCCATGGCAACCGAAAGAAAAATCTTTAAATATCTTCTTTTAAAGAACCGTAAGAGCTAGAGCTTAGATATTTTGCATGAAACATCTTCTAATGAGTGTCTACCAAGTTTGTTCAAAAAAAAGCCCTAGGGTCAAAATTGGCCCCCCCAGGGGGTCATTGATTTTCCCTATATGCATATAGAAAAACTTAAAAAAATCTTCTTTTAAAGAACCCAAAGAGCTAGAGCTAAGATATTTGGCATGAAACATCTTCTAGTGAGTGTCTACCAAGTTTGTTCAAATAAAAGCCCTGGGGTCAAAATTGGCCCCGGCCCGGGGGGTCATTGATTTTCCCTATATGCATATAGTAAAAACTTAAAAAATCTTCTTTTAAAGAACCCAAAGAGCTAGAGCTAAGATATTTAGCATGAAACATCTTCTAATGAGTGTCTACCAAGTTTGTTCAAATAAAAGCCCTGAGGTCAAAGTTGGCCCAGCCCCAGGGGGTCATTGATTTTCCCTATATGCATATAGTAAAATTTTTAAAAATCTTCTTTTAAAGAACCCAAAGAGCTAGAGCTAAGATATTTGACATGAAATATCTTCTAGTGAGTGTCTACCAAGTTTGTTCAAATAAAAGCCCTGGGGTGAAAAGTGGCCCCGCCCCGGGGGGTCATTGATTTTCCCTATATGCATATAGTAAAAACTTATAAAATCTTCTTTTAAAGAACTCAAAGAGCTAGAGCTAAGATATTTAGCATGAAACATGTTCTAATGGGTGTCTACCAAGTATGTTCAAATAAAAGCCCTGGGGTCAAAACTGGCCCCGCCCCGGGGGTCATTGATTTTCCTTATATGTGTATAGCAAAAACTTAAAAATCTTCTTTGAAAAAACCCAAATAGCTTGAGTTTAGATATTATACATGAAACATCTTTAAGTAAATATCTACAAAGTTTGTTCAAATAAAAGCCCGGGGGTCAAAACTAGCCCTGCCCCAGGGGTGTCATTGTTTTTAACTATATGTGTATAGTAAAAACTTAAAAAATCTTCTTTTAAAAAACCCAATGAGCTAGAACTTAGATGTTTTGCATGAAACATCTTCTTATGGGTGTCTACCAAGTCTGTTCAAATAAAAGCCCTTGAGTAAAAATTGGCCCGGGGGGGGGGGCTATATACAGGTGAGCGACCTCGGCCCTCTTGTTAATTGAATGTTACGCGTCAAAAAAATTTCGTTATTGATTTTATTTTTTCTATATAGAATATGACTGTTATCGATAAATTTAGTGCATATGGTACTTACGGAAGACGGACAAAACCCCACCAGTTAAAACCCCACCACTCAAAATTTTATAGAGTGGACAAAACCCCACCACTGAATTTTATAGAGTGGACAAAACCCCACCACTAAATTTTACAGAGTGGACAAAACCCCACCACTTACACAATGTACCAATTATTGGGCAAGATTTGATGAATTAAAATATATATAATATACACATTTTTTTCACATTTTTTTTAAAGTTCAATATAACATTTGTGTAATATAAGAATGAACAATTTTATTAACAATGCATTTACATCTTGCATGTGCAATATGCAAAAAAGGTGTACAAACTGTACACAAAAAACTTAATCCAAATCCCTGAAGAACAAAACAGATTATTAATTGATGTTTTGATTGCAAAAAAGGTGTTTCAATCTGTACACACAAATAAAATCTAAAATCCCTAAAGAACAAAACATGATAATTATAGCAATATAGCATTTATTTCAATAGCAATATAATATAATGAATGAGATTATACAAACAATTTACAAACTGTTTTAAAATCAACATCAAAGAGTAGTCGTTTATATGAGACTGTGCCACATTTATGACCTTGAATTATCCATTATTATTAGTTTCTTCAAATTCATTTCTTCAATTTTATTTATATAAAAAATAAACTTCCTTACTATTAATCAAGAATATAGCACATTTTCATCAATTAATGATAGCACATTTTGTAAAGCAC